TATGTTTGGATGGAAAAAGAATAATATGTTTTACAGTTTGTAAGTTCTTGATTATGTAGAAAATCATCGGCCTTTTATTTAAGAAATTGTTGGAAAGATTAGAATTTTTTGATTATTGCTTAAATTTTAAAATTATAGCATCATTAAAATTTCATATATTAATTTGCAGTAAACAAGAATTGCTCAAAAACTTGTGGTAAAAAAGGTAAATGTAACTGGGTTGACCAAGGTTCTCCAATTCAGAGAATGATATGTTTCTGCAAATACAAAGCAAGAGGATTGAATTGCGATGATTGTGAGCCATGCATATTTATCATATTCTCCATAAAATCGATTGAAGAGAAATTCTGAAATTCTAAAAGTTAAAAAAGTGTTAAAAATCTAAATCTCCACTCTCAATGGAAAGATTCTTTGAGGATAAATTTAACTACATTTACATTTAAAATTCCGGTTGAAGCACTTTTGGAGTGTTACGATTGCGAATATGAACCACGAGCACGAGAAAATCTCTTGAGTGCAAAAACCGATAAGACCGATAAGACCATGAAAAGTTGGTCGGCGACAATCTTCAAGTGCAGTCCAGCATCCTTCCTAATCCTAAAGGTGATAGAAAGCATTGTAGAAAAAACAGATTGATGGATATATCTGCGAAGATTTTCCCTCATTTCTGCTTATTAGATTCACGGTTGTGTAGTATAGCAAAGCATATCCTAATCAAACTGATGAATTCAGATCAATTTTTGCACTGAGAATACTGGAACATAGTTATAAATTTCATATATTGACTTTACTGTTGCTTTCCGTTCTATATAATGATCAACCCTCACGCAAGTTGTGGAATCTAATAACGTTCCAGAGAAGATAATCAGACTTATTAAACTGTTTAATCAAAGTATACGACAGTGCAATGTGTACATACGGTTAACTTTAATACACGAACTAATAGCGTACGCCATAGATTAGTATTCGTTTCTCTACAGTTTTCAGTTGCGAGATAGGCCTTATAATACACACCACTCGTCAGCATTTGAGCCATAAAAAGTGGCAGCCCAGATCATAAAATCACAAAGCTTCAATTTTTTGCCCTTCTCAGTTACAAAAAATTAAAACAATGATTAGAGTATCGACAATAGCAGCGAAAATTAGCCTTGAATCAACGTAAGTAAAAACCTCTTTCCATCCTATAATCAGATATTACCATATAAACAAATATAAATCTTCCATTGGTTCAAGAAATATCGGATTTCAAATACCTGGGATCCATTCTTATATTCAGTGGCCATGACGAAATTTCTGGTGAAATTCCAGAGCAAATTGGCGCAACATTTTTCTTCCTTCGGTCGAGATCTCTCTGGATTCAACAGAAAATCTCAAAACGATAATTCACATCTATATATAATTTTTTTCACAATTGCAAAACATAGTTGGTGATAAAAATATAACGGAACTGTCTGCTTTTAACCATATTTGCCTTAAGATTTACATTCTCCTTGCTGCGCTAGCAATTGCTCTAAAATTTTAGCATCGATCTTTGCTTAAATATTATCATTATCTTATATTGGGAACTTCGTTAAACCACGTTCTCATCGTCCATCACAGCAATTCTTATTTGTCTCTCTGCATGCTAAACCTTATAATAGATAAAACATCAAAGACTTGGAAGCAAGGACTCGATTCAATCAACCTCAGATGCAGCACTGGGCCTGTCTTACTACAGTCAACCAATAATAGTATAATCTCAAAAGAAATTTTAAAAGATGTTTTCAGATTCTGGAAAAATTCTCCGAAAAACTTTAATATACTAGAAAGAAATATAGTTGATATAGAAATATAGGATTATTTGAGGTTTCGATTCATGATCCTCGATGAAGAACCTGGCCTGAAGAGACTTATTAAGGCCAAAAACATTTCTCGAACCAAAGTGTTTATGACCCTAACCTTTGTCAGAAAATGTCAAAGATAACCACTTAGCCCATCTTATATCGGAATTTTTTCAGCATATCCTGGTATGGAATGGTTAACTTATCTTTTATGGTTTGCTGTATTGCTTGAGATATTTTTCGCATTATTAGCGATTCTAAGGCACGGGTAAGTAGTTTTGTCTTGAATTGTCTTGTTCTAGACAATTTTAATTAAAAATCTAAGAATCCTCAATCCTTTAGAAGTTATTGGTACTTGTATCTCCATTAATAAAACCTTACCCTCTTGAATCAGGATCAATCTTTTCTAGGAGACAGACAATTTATCGACGATATTTGCATAAGAATCGCATTGTCGACTTAATCCACCAATTTTGAATTTATTTTTCATTGTTAATGTGAATGCTTTCAGTTTTTCGAACTGATCTTCCTGAGATATTTTCATACTTATAATTTATAAGCTCAGGAAGTTTATAAGCTCTTAAATTCTACATAAATTCCTAGATTTTATAAAATTTGATGTAATCAACTTTAACGCATTATAGCAGAGATTCAGCCAAAATGAAATTTCGCAGATTATTATTAGGTTATCTTCTAAAGCCAAATCCCAATCAGTTTTGATTGGAAGTATATATATGAATTATATGCGAAGTCAATGCTTTATTTTTAATGTTGTTGGTGAAAATTGAAGAAATTCATTTTCATTACATCACATCGCCTTTTTTAAATAGAGAAATCGTAGGTAGATTTTATACGCACTCCAACGTGGAAAGACGTGGAAAAGGAGTAATGGCCTCCCTAACTTTTGCCTGATTAGCCTCTGGAGGTAAGCAATTGGAAATTATTTAAAAACAATAAATCCAAAATGAACTGATCTGACATTCCATCTGCAAAAATTATTCATATCCAACTTTCCCATGAAATAATTCTGAATGTCATCCACATGAATAAATTAGAAATACTATTCCCGAATTTTACATATATATTACATACGCCTTTGGTGCTACAGCATTCAATTGAATCGAATTCAACTTATGAGATATTAATCACAATAGATTATATTAAAAAATCGATGACATACAAATAGTAAATTCAAATACAAACATTACTTTATTTCTTCAGTATATGCGCACCAACAATAACAATAACGAAAAGAAGAAAATAATCTGTGAGCAATTTCTGTAATATCACCAAAATAAAAGTGATTAAATACCCAGAACATGTGGGAAAGTTCATCATTATAAATATACAAATAAATAGACAATAAAAATATAGAAGGCTAAGGTGATAAACTATAATATCTAGATAACGCAAATTTATATTTTTGACAAGATGTAAAATTGCGGAATGTTACTTTATAAAGTGATAAAAACCTATCGAAATATGCAAATCACTCTCTGACGATAAATTCAAATGAAATTTATCTCTTTCTGCATTTCAAAAAAATAAAAAAAATTTTCAACAGAAATTTCATATCAAAGATTGAACGATGATCCGATCCACCAAAGATGATTAATTAAGCAAAGATTGTAAGATTTACAGAAAAAAATTAAGATTAAAGAAGAAATAACGAAAAAAATACGCGCAATTTGTAAAATAAACAAATTAAGGAATTTAAATACTTAAGATATAAATATATCCTTTCCAACTGCACATCATTAAGCTTAATATCTCAAAAATCTATATTAAATAGATCCTAGCCCCCTGAAAATTAGATAAATATAAAGGCAACAAAAATAATACAGCTATAAAAATACATATAAAAGAACCATTTTAAGATACGACTGCATTTTTTGTTTCCAAAAAACATCGCCCACAGTGTTCTTCCAATCGAGAGATTAATGAGCGAACGAATTGCGGCAAGACAAGCAATCCTAAAAGTTTAATATATTAAGATCACAGTACCATATTTTGATTTTTCGAAAAATTATTTCGAACTTAAATTTAAAAGAATAAATGAAAATAAGAGAAGGTATTGCTATTATTATTTCCACTATGACCAATGGAAGATATTAAAAAGCTATTAGCCTTTGACCATTCTTAAATATCAAATGATCGCATCCACTTTCGTTCAAACACCACTTACATTAATAACATTATTATCACAAAGCGTTGGTTAGAGCACGTTCTCTATCGTCCACCACAGGACGCATATTTCGTTACTTACTAAACCCTATGATGGGTGGTGTCAAAAGAGAGGTGGCCAATCGAGACATGGACTGATACGGTCAGAAAAGATTTTGAACGTATAGGTAGACCAGCATATATGGACTTAGACGATGGAAAAAGGAATGGCTTCTATTACTACTAGCGATGGCGTCGGATCGAACAGCTTAGAGACATTTTACCCTTGTAGCCAGCAGAGCCAACCTAACCAGTAATAGTGACAGCTGTTAGAAGAAGAATTGTTACTATTACTATCATTCAACAAAAATCATTATTTATTAACACAACCGGAATTTGAAAATTTATTTTAACTTCGATCTGGACAGACATTTAAGTGTTATTTTAAACGTCATTTTTCTCCACTTCTTTTTCATAGTTTTTCACTAAATTATTTTTTTAAATTATCATAATTTTAAACATAAAATGGTATATATTAGTTTAGCATCTCAGCTTTTACTAATTTTTAAATATAAAACCTTATATGCTAATCAGGTTACACAACAGCTAATTGTTTAATCATATAAATTATAAAAATATTATAGGTGATTTGATATTTCTATTTTTCTACTTTTGGCAAGAATAGACCTCATCAAAACTAAAGTCCGGATGCTTTTTAGCGATCCATCCCTACTCCTGTTCTCAAATGATAATGAACAGCATATGCCAAAGTCTAATGGTGCTCACGTATCTACATGCGAATTATACCCTAAATACTGTGATAGAAATGATAAATGAACAAATTACTGCCAAAAAATTTGATGAAACAAAGAAAAGAGGAGACAATAGGATATGTGTGGATGCGATACATGTGGAATACCTGTGGATACTGACAGCAATTTAACAACCTATATTTTACCTAAATTTAATGGACAGCGCATATCTGTCAACACAAGTTCATTTTCCTCATTTCGGGATCTAAGCAGTTATTACCGCAGTTGCTATGTTTGATTTTTGGCAATAAAGTGGAAGATCGAGAAGTCAACCTCTGATCATTTGTACTTAAGCAACATATTACAATCCCACCAAACGAATAAAATCGCACTTTCCATTGTTTCATCATAGAGCTAAGTCAGTTGGTCATAATTTTTACCATCCATAGCTGGAACTGGTGCTAACCCTCATTATTTCGTTAACTGCTTTTTAACAGCTTCGTGAAGACAATGTCAAAAAGCAAGGAGAATCAACTGGGGCATGAAGAGAAAAATATATGGTTTTGGAAAGTGGAAAAAAGAGAATCTTGTATCACCCTTTGTAGTCAATATAATCAATATAAATGGTGCGTGCTTAGAAAGTGAAAGCTTGAAAAATAAGCTTGAAAAAAAATAAAGATTCATGCTACTATGCTAATCTATATGCGACCCGAAAGAAATATGGTCATTGCCTTAAATTGCTATCGCCTCGTTATTAAAAAGTGAACTCTAATATTCCTCAAAATTTCGTCAAAATACTCTGCGTATGTCCACTTAACGGCTTTTTCACTCTTCCAGCATTCATAACCATGACAGCAGAAAAGTTTCGCAAGCGATAACAGGAAGATATTGTTAATGAAAATAACTAACCAACAATTTTTTGATTTTGTTGCGTTCGTACACGGATAATCTGCATCCTCTGAGTTCGTTTCACCTCTCTGCAAGAGAGACCGCCAGAAAGAACATCTTCAACTACTGGCCAAACAGACAGTACTGACCCAGACAAAACGAAATACGTTCTTGTCCTTCTACCCGTTTCACAATATACACCATTAGTCTCACTCTGACATCGGCCATGAAAATATTTATGTTGGCACATCACATTTGAACCTGAAATTTGATTTACAAAAAAAGTAAAAGAATTCATTATCCACTATAAGCAAACTAATATATAGATCATTAAACATGAGTAATAAAAGCGAAAACATAGGCAAAATTATGTGAACAGCATAATACAAAAAAGCTCAAACCTCCAAATTGATCTTTCCAAATTTTTTCCGCCTGAACCAATGTCGCCGGTTGAAAACGTTTACTTAACTCTTCCATCGTTTCTAGCTTAGGGCTCCGCCCTGTATTTGGCCGCGTAATACAATAAAGTCGTGCACCGGTGTCTAATCTCTTTTTACCAATACCATAAATTAATGCAGCAGCTTTTTTTCCATTTGCACCAACTGTCGATAAATAAAACCCATCCTTAAATGCTACGATAGTAAAAACGCAAAAAAAGTGGAAACGATGAATAACATATATAAGAAATGAAATAAAATCCATCCATGCCATATTTTATGAAAATTCTTCCCAACTGCCGTTAAATAACTTCTTACTATCCTCGTTTTTCCCTTATTCTCCCTTAATATTCTGCCAATATCCCCATTAGCCTAAACCCATTAAATGTCCTGAAAAACTCTGCACAACGGTCTTTCAGACCTGGCCGTAATTCCACAACAATTTTTCCTTACGCTCATGCTATATCCCTTTTACCCTTCCTTCTATATGCATAAAACTATGCTCTTTTACCATATCTCACAAATATAACTCATATGTTAACTAATATACTCATATGTTAAACATTATTGCTAGGACCTTCGATTCCGCCAAAACCCGTTCCCATTTAATCCCATTTAACATCTCCATCAAACGGCTCCGTTTTTTTCTGCTAAAATTCGATGGCAACGCTATGCTTTTTCAGTCCACTTTGCTACAGCATACAACATTCAGTCATTTGTTAAGCTCTTATGATAAACCACCAATATTTCTGGAAATCCATTATATTGTCTGTCTATAAAATCTCGGTCCGCATTGAAACCTTTTGATGAGACCTAAAACCTACTGCATCATCTGAAAATAAAATAAATCTTCAGAAGACCTGTCAAATATTTCTCACTTGTAAGCCCTATAACTCATAACAGAATTACTCCCTTTATATAACTCGTTAATTATAATTCCTTCACGATAGTCAAATCTCTTATTGCGCTTTTGCAGCAAAATTAGATATAATTATAAATTCTAAAAGGTAATATGACGATGAATGTGGTATTAGAGCAGTATATAAGATGGAAAGTCGGGAGATATTAAAAGACAATAATAGTAAGAGTGAAAGAATGAAAACAAATAGCAGAATGATAGAGATAAAATACAACAGATCTTGAAAGAATCCAAGCGGCACACTCTGGTCCAGAGGTGGTTTTGTTAACAGGACTTAACATAGATCATTTTTCCAGTTCAAAGTATCAACCTGGTCATCATGATGGTCGTTCCAGATGGCATAAGCATCTTCCCAACTGACTCCCCGCTCTACACCGATTTTATGCATTTCTACGCGGAAGGATCCTCTGTCAACGCGACCAAGGAAGACTCGAGTTTCTAATTTACGAGCTTCATCGCTACCCATACCAAGATCTAAATATTCCAATGAATACTTTCGCTTCTGTAGAAAGATCTAAAAATTCTACTAAAGCCATCTGAGAAAAACAAACCCATTATCCCCATATCGTATGTTCCATCATGTTTAGCCTGTGCAACAAGTTCAGCAACAATATCAGAGAAATATTGGAATATGGCATTTTGCGCATGAACAGGTAATCCAAGGATACGGTTAAGGAATTTTGGTATATTTGCAGTTTCATTTTCAATGAAATAAACATCATTTTCATGATAAACTAAACCAACACCTTCTAAATATCGACGCATGTCTGAAATATTCCTTTGGTAAAAACACCCAGCAATTTAACATTTTGAAAAAAATAAATCAAAAATTGCCTGCAAAGAAATCTCCTGGTTTATAATTTTTAGGAGGTGGAATGAGTGGCGGTTCAAACATTCCAATAACCGTTCGAAGTAAAATATCCAAAGCAGCGCGTCCGTAACGAGTATCCAAATTGAACTGGCTAAGATCACGTGTTTCAGTAGCTCGCCGATCACCATGGGTTAGCGCACCCAGTGATTCTAATCGCTTTGCAACTATAGAAGCAAACCTAAATGGGGTAAAAATGATGAATAGATGAGCATTTAAACTATCTGTGGTCGATACCAATATATACTGAAATTGATAATCGCTCCAGTAAATCCAAACAGAGAGATGTTCATAGCAAAAAAGCGATATATATTTACCTTTTTTCCCCAGCAAGTTCGGATATAAGAAAAATATATTCAGGAGCACTGACTTGATTTGAACGATGAGTGCGGCCTATAATAATCTCGGTCAGGCATTTTAGAAAAGATTAACTGTATAACAATGTGCCGTGAGACAATGTGAAATGTGGAAGTGGTGGCCGGAAAAAAACGCCTCTTCAACCTTGAAACTTTCGTTGTCTATCGTTATAAATTAAAATATCCTTTGATGTCAACATCTTTATATTTCGCGAAATACCTCCTTCAATCCCGTTAAATACTTTCATATCGCTTCGAAAATCCCGTTAAATGGAAAAAAGGATTTTCAAAAAGAATAACTGGGTCCAAAAAATTGAAAGAAGGCAAACTGTACTGTCTTCTTGGCCTAAACTATCTTTTTTATCTTTTCTGTACAAAAAGCAAAAAGCTGACTCAAAATATGAACATTTAAAATCTATATAACATTTTTTTTTAAAATTCTATTTCTATTCTATCCACATTTTAATTTAGGATGTGTTCTCTTTTTTCTCAAATTTGATAGCATTTCTGGTCAAGCTTGCTTCGACCAGATGAATTTTGACCATTTGGCGATAGAAGAAAAGATTGGTTGTCAGCACCATTCGGTTTTCTGAACGAAAGGTTCACTCCTAATGCCAGTAGAATCAGAGTATAGGTAATTGAAACAACCCTCTGAGTCTTCTATTTTCTCAGTAGCGATTCCCAATTAAAATCAAATGAAATGGATAAAAATTTGACCGAATTGTTGGATAGCTTTATCTGCTGACCACGGCAATTCTAATGTAATGTGAACACGCCGTCGACGATTACCAGCACGACGATCAGACTAAACAAACGTAAAAATTAAAAATGATAACTGAGGCGATTTTACACTAACATATAGCGAAGGACTTTCAATACAATAAAAACATTTAAAATCACATCTATGAAGATTCAAGAAATTAGAAATAAACAGCATACTTGAAGAGATATTCCTGATGATGCGGCTTCAGATATAATTGCTACTAGTTTCATGCCTTTCATAAATTTATCTTTTTCATCCATATTCATTAATTCCAAAGGCACATCTGCACCAGCGTGTCTTAATTCATACTCGATTTCACCATCTTCACGGCTGACAATCCTTCCTTTACGCCCAGTCATCTTGAGAAAAAAATGATAATCTCACAAAAATATCTCCCAGCAAAAAACAAAAAACTAATGAAAAACCTCAGCAACATGTTCAGGACCCCCGAGTTCATTGATAAGTTCATCAAGAGTGTTCGGAGGAAGTCGAGTACCCAATCGTTCCGCTGCAGCCAATAATTCTGCTTTGATAATTGAAGGTCCACCGGCACACATTTGACTAGAGTTGTCAATTAATCGAGATGAAGAAATAAATGCTTCGGCAGTTTTCGTCTGTAATGTTTATAAGAAACTATTGCTTTTATTGATTTTTTCCTGATATTCTCGAATGAATGAATGAGAAAAACAAACCATAGCAAGAGTTTCAATGGGTGTCGTCCGACGAAATTTTTTGCCAAAATTATTTTTCTTTCTTTTCTTTTTTCGCTTCTGGACCTTATTTTTAACTGGCGAATCCGAAACGACTTGTTGCTTCTTTGCCCAAGGATCTTCTAAATTTTAAAAATTAAAAAGTTTTCGATATGATATAAAATTTTAAAGGAAAAGATATCTGAAGTTCAAAAAAATGAATATTTTCCCATTATATCCCTTACAAATCCATGTGTTTTATGCATGTTTTAAACAAAACAATCTCATTCCTCATAAATGTAAAAACAGAAGCAAAAAATGTAATTGGTACTCTTCATTTCTGGTCAAGCTATTTCCGCTTGCTAGTAGGTTAAAAATTTATGTTAGTGAGTGGCTTCGCGATGGAAATAGAAGTATGTCATAAGTAACATTGAATAACAGGTTTAATCCTGTCAGGGACCGATACTGCCTCTCAATATGATAAACTGAACCAATATCCAATATCCACTTGACAATCCTTCCCCTGTCCAAACTGACTACTGTGAATTTAAACTTGTTCATTTAAAAAGCACCTAAAGAACAAAAAATAAAAAAATACAAAATGTGGTGCAATCAAAATATACCTTGTGTAAAATCACAAGCAAATGGATTTATTTCATCATCGCTTTGCTTATTTTGTCCATCACCTTCCTTTTCACTATTTTTCTCGTCAAACATAGCACTCTCTTCACTTTCTTCATCAGAACTCTTGGCCTGATCCATTAATTTCTTCATCCAAGCGTCTTCATCACCATCGATAAATCCATCATTGTCATCTAAAAATAAAATAAATGAAAACATACATGGAAACCAAAAAAATAATACCAGAAAATTCGTAATAAATACCATCATTTTCCACTTCACTTGACGGAGAACAATCAGAAGATTCTATATCAGAAGAATCAGCCGATTCATTCTCTTTTATACTACCTTGCTTTGAGGGATATGAAGTATTTGAAGAACCGCTTAATCTTCGTGTTTTTTTTGCCACGGGCACACTTGCCAAAGTCTCAAAGCCATCCATATTAGAAGCATCATTTTTTCCTAAAAAATTACTTGAACTTCTATTTATATCAATTGTTCCCATATATAAAAAACAGGGATTAATGAGACCGAAGTAATTTTAACTGAACATTCACATTCACCCTATAAAAAAGAAAATGTAAAGAAATATATCGATTCTTGTTGCACGTTATTTAGTACTGCTTGCATTTCGTAATAAATGTCAGCAAAAAGGACTACACCATCAGCGTATTCAAGATCCATGACACGAAATTCTGGACTTATTTGGACACCTCTTGGATGCCGACAAGCGGTGTCCAGTTTACCGCATAGTTGAGGTGGAAAGGACACAATTTTGATGGACACCAGTTCTTATTTCGAAGGAATATGTCAATTGCCCATATGCATATACCTAGCCGACATACGCTCATAAAATGCCATTATGAATCTAATGATTTTCTCTGGAACACCACCGCGTTCCATCACCCTCCAAAGCGCCGTACTATCTATTTAATCAAATGCAGTCGCAAAGTCGATGAAACACGTGACACTGGGATGCAAATATTTGAAGCGATGTTCCAATACCCTTTTTAACGTGAATGGTCAACACAACCGCACCCCGGTCTGAATACAGCTTGATTAGGGCCCATCCTGCTGTCCCGTACTTCCATATGTTTGTTGAGTAACAGGGAAGCAGAAATTTTTGCTGAGACATCTAGTAGGCTGATTTCTCGCTACTTGTCGCAGTATGCCCTATCACCTTTCTTGAGAAATGGGAGGATAATTGCTTTGCTTTGCTCTGCTCCAATCATCGGCTAATATTTCTTTTTTTCATACTAGAGAGTACATTTGTTGAAGGTGCATTATGAAGAACGATGGATAACATTTGAAAAGTTCAGCCCTCAGTCCATCTTCTTCACGGAGTCTTATTGGCCTTAAGCTTATTGATAAGGGAAATTATTTATTCTTCTGCTGAAGGCTCGCAGTTGCAAGCGTATGATTCGGCAAACGTATCAGCTATATCAGGGGTAACAGATGGCTCTTCATGGTTAAGTTTGGCCTCAAAGAATTTTTTTCATCTTATGGGGCTGTTCTTAATATTCTTCGGCCTGCCACTGTTGTCCATTTCATTGATCGTTTCCCGAGTCATAGCTGCTTCATGAAGAAGGCGCAATAGTTTCCTATTATTGCCTAATCGAGCTACTGTCGCCATTTTTGAGGCTATGTCACTCCAATAATGATTTTTGTCCTGCTTTGCTATTTTCATTGCAAATTTTCGAGGCACCCGGTAGGTTAGGATCGCCTGATATTCGTGCTTTAGCAGTTTTTTCAAACAGTTGCTTCCGCTACCCAATTCCTAATAATATGCCCTAGTGTGGCTAATTTAACTCTAAGCCCAAAAAATATATTTAATAACATATCACTTACTTTTACGCTTTGCACTTTTTTCATACTCGTTGAATATTTTGTCGAAATCAGAAAAAATATCGACCTTGCAGTTTGACCGATCAAGTGGAAAATGTTTATCAATGAGGCTTGTTAAAACAGCCCTAAAATTTAAAATGTCAATAAACTTTACCGAAAGAAATTCACAGCGAAGCCAAAAATATAATCGAAAAACTTACTTAGCTGTAGAAACAAAATCCGTTAATTCTCCAACATCTTCTAGCACTTCACGAGTCTTAGATTCACCTGTAGACTGTAAACCAATAACAACACATTTACCAGATTGTATCGCTTCGCGAGTTATTTTTACACAAGCCGCAACCTGGAGACAGATTGAAAAAATGTCCAAGTGCTAATAAGTTCTTTTCAAATAAATTCCTTATTATTAAAAATAATATTAAAATATTAAAAATAAAAGTTTTCGTCAAAATATTTTGCAAATGAAAGGCTGAAAATGATTTTTAACAAGCTTTATAAAAATATGGATCACTGAAAAAATGAGAAAATAAGAAGATTAACTGCGACAAACAAAATCTAATCACCTTCGCACTTATACAGAGATATTTGAAAAAACGTTGGTGAGCTGCCCAAAATTGTCCCCATACTTGCTTGGAATGAAATCGTTCGGCTCCAACGAGCTGATCCAGAGCAATCTGAAAGATTGCACTGACCTTAACAAAAGCAATAGTTTAAAAAAATGCGATGCATACAATAAAAAAGAAAAAAAAACGGAAAACCTGAAACTGGCGTTTGCATTCCATCCACAACTTGACTGATTCGTCATACATTTCGATGAATTCTGGAGTCAAAGCAACTTCTTCCACATGAAAATTTACACCGCGGAAAGATAGCTGTCTTGCAAGATAAACACCACGTTGCTTAAAATTTTTGCGAAATAATCAAGCCGAATTATAGCTTTTAAGATCGGATGCTTACAGAGCGGCTGTTTTAAAAAGCCACTAAAGTTTATAAAATTTTCTAAAATGCTAAAAAAGAAAAATCAACAGCATACTGGTATAAATCGTAATGTGCAAGAAAATACAATACTTTCATATCCATGGCCACAACTTCCATGGCGCCAACACCACGTTTTTCGACAGCATTTATGAAATCATTAAATTCGGGAAAAGCCTGACCCCTGCCCCACAATCCAAGACGTGTCATATATGCCATGTTCTTAGGTTCTACAACGTGATATTTTAAAGACATATGAAAAAAATTTAAAGGTAGTTAAGGATTTTTAAAAGATGGATAGTACTGTGAAAAATGATAAGTTTGAACATTCAACGAACCTGTCGCTCCAGTAGCAGAAGCATATACTATACGAGCATTAGGCAAAGCTTCTTGAAGATCCATAACCACACGGCCTGTTTTTGTAGGTTTCGAACTTGATGATGGGACAAGGTTCTTAGCGCGGTGGCATTCATCCAAAATGATCACGCCATCAAAATCCTATACTATTATCAGATACAAATTCATATGCAAAATTTATAGCGTTATTTTTTAGTTATTATACAACTATTATTATGCAATTAATTAATCAATGACTTTATAATGCCTTCATGAACTCACCTGCCCACACCACTGAATTAACTGCTTCAATCGAGTTCGGTATTTATTTTTTGCGCCGCGACATTCTCCAATGAGCGAAGAATATGTTGCAAAAACGCATCCTTTTTTAACATTTCCATTTTCTTTGCCGCTAATTTTTGCATATTTAAACTTGTTCAAAGCATGGACCTGAACATTTAGATAAATTTTTAATAATGATTCAGAAATTTTTAACTAATACACATCGTAATCTCCACTTCTTTCCAGCATTTATCAGATCACTAAAAAAAAAATTTCATTTCATCGCATTTTGAAAATATTTCCATATACAAATTTGACCACTTTTTTTTTTAAAGAGTCTTCACCATTACTGGTTAAACTCGCTCCACTGGCTTGTCACATTAAGTAATATGCCAGGGAGTCCCTTGGAGATAGAAATACAGGTAGGTCGCCAGCATCACCAGAATTTTTGTACAGATTTACTCCTGCAGAGAACCTCAGCATCGGGCGCCCCCAGTTGACAACTCACTGAGCCATCCTATCCCCTACAAGTTTGACCATATCTTGACTATTTAACTTGTGATTGGTTATGTATATATATATACCTTGATGCTCTTGCATGGTAAATTTCTAGGAATTACCTATTACTTATAACGGTACTGTTTGGAATATTTATTTGAAATTCGGATTATTTGAGAGATCGTTTTCAAGCTTTCCGTATTAATAATCCTCCATAAACTCCTTTCCTTACCTCCTCCTCTCTCGCTCCCCTCTCTTTTCATTTGTTAGACATCGTACACCGCACCAGAATAGGAAAATTAAAATAGTTATACTGGCATTATATCATTTTTTACATATAAAAAAATCTTCCCCATATTTTCCATCCTCTATGGGTGGTAAGGATCATCCTCAAACTGATTGAAAACAAAACAACTTGGTGATTGGCCAGTACTTATTTCTCTGTCTGGACGGAGAAGTCTCATAGGATCTTTGTCTTATAACGGTTTTCTGAGGAATTTCCCATCTAGTCTAGAGAGAGTCTAAACCATATATCTGAGCAGATTTCTACAGGTGATGTTAGCTACTTATATCCATATATTATATTTAAATTTACTTTTATATTGGTTGCACCAATATCTCGAAGATCACGCTCAGCATCGAATTTCAGATCAGATGATATACTTAACCTGAAATACGTAATAAAAACATAATCACATTCTTTTTTCAATTTTTGAGCTAAATTTATCCTAAATGCAATGATTAGTAAAAACCGAACCATAAGGAACGCTTGCGACCCAAAATATAATTTTCGTAAATGATACTAGCAATAATTCGACCTTTCCCTACGCCAGCGCCATCACCTATAATAACACAGGAAAAAAAAGTATATATATATATATATAAATATAAATAATCATATTTTGAAACATGATACAGCGAAAAGAAAGCATTAAACAATTGATGACAAATAACAAAACTGAATATTTAAAAAAAATCGAAAAACATCGAGAAACAAAAAAAACCATTCAATCATTTACCAATAAGATATCCAACTCGTTCACCAGATGGAAGTCGGGTTTCGTGAGTCTGACAAGCATAAAGAACCGCCTCGAGTTGTATTGCTGATATAGCACCAGTATCAATGATCTAAAACTTTTTTTTACCACTTTTAATGAAAATTTAACTAGATTGAAAAATCGAAAAATAATAGAAAAAATAAAGCTTGAGGAAAAATTAAAAGACCTCTTCAGGAATGGACAAAGTATATCGAACATCAGGTGGTGCAACACTACTCAAAGAAGCGGTTTCCACAACGCAATCGGGATGCGACAGACCTGATCGCAATTTAACGGGACAATAATCAGAATAAGTTTCAGCATAGCCCAAATTTTCCTCCTAAAAATAAACGGTAATAATGATAACGAGAAATGAGATAATGCACGACAAAAATTAAACTTTATAACCTTACCTTTTATACGGAATAAATTTACGTAATTCTGTTTAAAAAATATTTAAAAATTTTGTATAAAATAAAAAATATAAAAATTTTTGTATTAATAATCCATTGGCCAGATTCAAAATAAACAAACTTCATCTTCAATTTCATTATAAACACGACCAATATAAGACGGTATTGTTGTTCTTATATCATCTTTTGTCACCTTCCTTTCAATTTTAATGAAATCCTTGCGCTCGATCCTATTCATAAAATTTTTTCCCATAATTGTAGTGTTAAAAAGATTTTGATCTGAATGAATTCGCTTAACCAAATTCACATTTTCTTTCACTGTATTTATTGGCTGATAATTTTCTCGTTGTGGTAGCATTCCTTCATATTTAACTTGAACAGGCCGTGGCAAATGAGAAATATACCTCTTGTTATTGAAAAATTGATTATCATCTAGCAATGTTAGTGATGATGATCTCGATCCAGAATCATTTTTTACTTGCGACTGCAAATAAGTATTTTCATAAGATTCATGCAAAATTCGAGAATTTGAAGTTACACATAATCCAGAAATGTTCCCTTCAATTCTATTGACTCTTTGCGGCTGAATTACCTTAGAAACTTGAATATTCATAATGGATGGAGTAGAGCCGGAAGTATATAGCACATTAGTCCTTCCATCAGCATATTTTTTCTGCATATTTCCAATGATTAAAGATCGTTGCAAAGGTGGGCTTGATGGAGGTGATAAGGATGTATACTGATGACCTGTTTCACTATGAACACTTGAATGACTTATCGCGCGACGATCTCGATGATTTTGCCTTTAAAAAACTAATTAAGTCTCACAAAAATAATTAGTCGAAACTATTATATCAAAATCACATAGATCGAAGAACAAGACAAACCTATTATGCAGTAAAAAAAATTAATAATAAGAAGTCTGAAAGTTTCAACAGAAAATACCAAACAAAGAAACCTTTGTAAATATACAGGGGAGGGTGATCTGTCTACTATGCTATGATTTTTTATTAAATGTGCTTGACCAACTGCAGATGAAATATTCGAAACATTAGATCGAGTTATAAAACGTCGCATAACTGGTGGCATACGACCAATTTCTTGCATATTATCTGTAAATGATTCTACATCTATTAATGTTAGAAAAAAAAAAATCGAAAGATTTTAGAGATTAAACAAGACATTAAACATTTATCAAACAATTACCAGATGTCTAATGAGCACTGTCGAAAACCTTTCTAAGAAAAGCAATTATCTATTTCTCTGACAAAAATTTAATACATGCAAACAAAAAACTTTTACATATAATATTATGAAAAATATTGCATTTACCATTAGTCGTTGATTTACGAAAAACGACGACATGTTGCGCTCGTTGTGATTGAATATTCATTGGATATTTTTCGGTCTGATCGGTTGAAAATCTCATATGATGTCCACTAGCAACAGCACGATATGTTTTTCCATTCAACTGTTGTATAAACGTTCTTCCACCAGTTCTAATCTATTGAATATCAATAATATCACTATCACCATTTAACACCATTCATCGTTTCTAAATACTAATAGATGTGATACCCTGCCAAACTACCACCCAGATTTTACTTTTGATGAGATTTTTGCTCCGTCAAGAGATATGCTCATTGCTTAATTATCCAAAAAACTGTTTTATTCTAATTAATTAAAAAATGAAAAATTAAATATTAATTATTACAGGATTACTACAGAGATTAAAAATTTTACAGCTATGGCTAATTTTCTAAATTAATTTCTTCTATGTAGAAAATAATATGAAAAATTACCAAATTTGTAATTGGTTGATCGTTCCGTTGAACTCGAATTTCAGATAACTTAGGTGCAGATCTTGAAATAACGATTGGTCTTGTTCGTTGCACATCGACTGATTGCAAATTTCCTGGCAAATTTTATAACTTATCGTTTACAAGATATGAAAATATATATCAAAATGTAAAGTATAAAAGTATGTAAAATATAAATAATAAGCGTTACCTGTTAGATCAGAATTAAATGATGGCAAATGGTTTGTCGTATGGGATAACGATATGCTAGCGCCGTTAAAATTCGTCTGATCTGATGATAAATTACCCCTATCACAATCAAATGATTTTATGCAATTTTTTGTCGTAATACTATTTGAACAAGATGGTTGTGTCTCACATCCATCGAGTTTTAATGTGATCTCTTCTGATTCACCACCGACCTCTGACCCATCTAATAATGTTGTGCTTTGCATGCTACCAGTACCACAAGTCGGTAACTCGGAGCTTGATATGAACTCATCGAGGCCTGCTTCGCTTAGCACTGTTGACAGCAAGTCTTCCATAAATTCTATAAAATTATCAACTATATAGATAAAAATCTATTAAAAAGATGAATGAATACGGTTCATTTTAATAATCGATAAATTGTCCGGTTATAAATAAGAATAGGTGCAGATCTTCTAAAATATATACCAACAATAGCATATATTACCTCCCCCACAGACGAGTTAATTCTAAAAGCAAAGAGTTAAAATACTGATTAAAGTGAAATTATTGCTCACACAACGTATTAAAGTAAGCGAAAATGGATCTTCTACTCAGTATAAAGGATAAAGTTTAGATTTACCGCAATAACTCGAAGTGGACTCTTCTTGAGTAGATTAACTGAATGCAGATAAAAAAGATATATTAACATAATAAAACAAAAGTTTGAGATGGACTATGTAGAACGACAACCGACCCTCAGATCGATTCCTCCCCAAGAATGAAAATCTCCCTCATTGGGACACCATGAACACCGTCTACCAACATGGAAACATACAGCCACACGATAAATGAGGAGTAATCGAACCCCGCAAGCAAACGCGTCCTGTCACCGCGACTCCAATATATACGCACGCGTTACACTCGGCCCCGCCCAACTCAATTTTTGATTGGTAATCAAATTGGCTGTGTGCCAAACTGTATGAAGAAGATCGACCCGCCCCATCTTAATAGTTTTTTACGATCCACCTCGGCGTCGAAGATCGCCGAGGATACGGAAATTGATCTTTGGTTTCTGAGATAGGAAAGAGATTGAAATTTTATGGAAAAACTCAGTTTATTTTTAAAAGCAATTTTCAATTAAATAAATTTCGTTCAGAAAAAATTTTTTTCTTTGAATCAGACTTTTTCTCCTTTATTTTCAACAGTAAATTGCTGCTTTGTTATTCGATTCAATGTTTTTTATTCGTCCATTTTGCTAATTAAATTAATTCATTTTTTAATAGTTTAAAAATAAAATAAATTGCTTTAAAGCAATTTAAGAGATATTTGAAAACATTTTTATTTGTTTAACCAAAAATCACTGCAAAAGAAATAATTCACTGCGGCGATTGACTTGATTGCAACGTTTTATGTAGTCAAACAGAAAAATGCCTTCCAACAAGCATGCGAAAAAGCATGATTGTCCTTATTTCGCAAGCCTTCTACTGCTACTTTTCAACACGCAAGTAAATCTTTGGTTTGCTACCGAAATATAGGTAAATGACCGACAAATTGAATTAGTCAGCTTTGTACTATCACTTGCAGAAATCGTAATCAAAATTTTCTATTAATTTTTTGAAATTTTCCGAAGTTTCCCGAAATTAATTTGCGATAGTTAAGGTGATGTGCTATTTAAGATTAAAATGCGACAAACTTTGTCAAATTTTTCGTAGTATTTTCCCAAAATCGCAATGCGTCAGGCGTTCACCACTTTTGTCGCCAGTAGCTGGCGCTGCCGCGAAGTTTTGCCATGGAGTAGCCTGAGGGTGAGTGTGGAGAGTAGAAGTGCAACTGGACCTTCGCCATCATCGGATTTTCTAGTGATCGGATTTTGCTTCCGCTGAAGATAGATTGTGAATCGAACCCTTACTTTGCTATTGTTAATATTAGTTGTAAATTAGAGCAACACGAGTTTTTATTAATTTTATTTTTAATAATATTAGAATTCAGTGACTTTTCGCTGTATTTTAATTATTTTTGCTAAAAATTTCGATTAATATATCATTTTTTCAACAACTATTTTCAGAATAATTCAAATAAATTCATTTTATTCCTTATGTGATCGATAAACAAAACGAATTTGTTTTGTCACGGTATATTTATATGTTTCTATTAAATCTGAAATTTTTTATATTTAGTATTTTAATTATTTTCTTATCATTCTATTAACAAAGTTAACATTTTTCGTGAATACCTTGGAATGTCTGCAGGTCTTCATTGATCATTTATAATTCCTATTCTCCTTAACCTTTTATACTTCTGTTGTCAGGTTGGCAAGGAATTTTAGCCTGCCTCACTTATTTTTTTGGATTAATAATAATAAGTATTCATAGAGTTAAAAAACCTCCAAAATTTCTTCAAAAAATATATTCTCGCTCATTCATCATTCAAGTTTTTTAATTTTAACTTCAACTCTTTTTATTTATTTTTATTAATTCATTTTCGAAGATTATTTTGCTGTTATTCTGAAGCATTATTGTCTACATAGATCATTGAATTGGTTTATTTTTTTGAATTACAAAATTTATATTATTTGGTTTCTTCCAATGTGAGATTTTATTTCCTTTTTTTTAAGGGGAATTCTGTTTGGAATGCTTGAGAAAATAGTGGACCAAAGAAGAGGAAATCAACGAAAGAGGCGATCAAAGTCTGCTTTCTTTCGTATAATTAGTATTAATCAAATCGAGTCAGAAATTATATTCCAAAACAAAAGAATTAGAATATTTTTTAAATTATTCTTAATAAGAAAGAAAAAGAAAAAAGTAAAAAAAAAGAAAAAAATTTTCTTATGTTTCCGGTACCATTTTTTTTTAGATTTTGTTTTTAGAAAAGATTTTTTTGCAAGAATAATTTATTTTCAGTTATACTTTATTATCATTTTTTAATTGAAAGTTTGAAATGAACTATTGAAGGAAGATTTTGAAAAATGATGACAAAAATCATAAAATCACTGAATACTTCGAAGTTCGACGAAGTTCAAGAAAGCCATCGGGCGTGATTCAGGTTTATTTTAATTTTCCTGATGTATAATATCTAATATATAATATTTATCGGTATGATATCTGATTTATTTTAATTTATTGTTTTATAGAATATTTTTTAGTCAGGTCCAAAAAATTCCTTTTCTTCAAATTCCTTAACTTGTAATTTATCCAGTTATATCACTTCTAAGTTTTTAAGGATTTTATTTAATAGTTTTATATTTAGAAAGAAGAGTATGATGCATTGCGCGAAGCAGTACAGTCGCTTAGTAACGAAAAATTCCTGGAAATTTATGAAGATGAAAAAAAAGGCCGTGGCATTCGTTCGCTGAAAAAATTTAGGAAAAATGAATTTGTTGTCGAGTATAAAGGTAGTACTTTTTTTGCTGTATAAATCTCAAATAAGATTCTATGGTATTTCATTATCGATTATAGTAATTGTATTAATTTCTCATTTTCTTTAATTTTCTTTAAGGGAATCTTAAAAGGATTTATTGTAGATTTTCATGAACAAATTAGTGTGCATATCTTATCTTCAGGCGAGATTATTAGTTTAAGTGTCGCAAAAATACGAGAGAAAGAATATGAGCTAGATGAAAATATTGGCTCGTTTATGTATTTTTTCGCTCATAAAAATAAACAGTATTGTGTTGATGCGACAGATGAAACTCCATTTAAAGGTCGTCTTATAAATCATTCAATTTTAAGACCAAATTTGAAGACGAAGGTAAGATTTTATTGAATCCAATTTATAAAAAATTGAAATATATTAAAAAAGTTAATATTAGCTTATGGCAGCGATAGTGCTACAAAAAATTTTGAAGCGTTTTCAAAATCAATAATTTTTGATAAAATTAAGATGGAGATCATTTTATAGGTATGAATGTGATATAGTGGTATTGAGCATTTATTAATTTTCTAAAGTATTCCATCAAATAAATTCTGTTTGATTTTATCAAGGTAATTGAAATAAGTGGTTCAATACATTTGGTATTAATAGCAAAACGCGATATCGAAGAAGGCGAAGAACTTCTATATGATTACGGTGATCGAACTTCATGTAATGTAGCAAATAATCCTTGGCTTTTAACTTCTTAATAAGCAAGCAGTTCTCATAGAAGTAATGCAGAGTTCTCTTTTTAAATAATACAACTCTTCTATTCTCTGGTGATCGAGCGGTTTATTCTCTTGTTGAGTTTTTTATAATTCTACGACTGCAGCTATTCATTTCTTATTTTATCGTGTTTGAATTTTTGTTTTTGCTTTAATTTCACAAGGTCTCCTAATGATTATATATTTTACGTTATTAAAAGTTTTTATTGTTGAGTGTTTTTAAAGATATACACACTTTATAGGTCCTTTTTTTATCATAATCTAAGCTTTGACATGTTTTGATTTCATATTTTTTCGATTTCTCAATAAAGTTTCATCAAAAAATTATTTTATCGATTTATCTTAAATCTTCAACAGACGATCGAAATTTTTATTTAATTTCTAATCTTTTCATTTATCGGGAGTGAATGGTTGGAAATATTTTTTCGTGGATATTTTGCTTTGAGGATATTTGTTGATATAGTTGATTTTCGCAAATAGTTTCTTCAGTTTCGTTGAAGTCTATTAAAAGTGGCTTATTTTCATTATCTTATCATTGTTTTGAAATAACTAGGTAATTAAATATCTGAGTATTAATATTTCTTCTTAATCTTATTTTTAATTTTTTTATATTTCATCATGATTTTTGAAGCTTAATTGTTATCTTTCGTCGACTGATGTCTTGTAACGAAGGCTGCCATTGCAGTTTTATTTTGTTTTTCTGACCTTGAAACGAATTGTTTTTAAAATTGTATTATTAATAAAATAAAATATTTAATAATTTTTTTGATTTGTTTCCTTGTTGTTAAATGTCTTAGTTATTTAAATATTAAAATATTAATGTCATTTTATTAATAATTTTAAGATGCTTTTATTATTAGTAAAATTACGGAGTGAAATCCACCTTATAATTTCCGTTAAGGCTATTAAAATAATTCGATGACGATGTTTATTGTGAAAATTAAAATTATAAATTGAATGTTTCTACATTATCGCAATTTTCCACTTTTGATTTAAATTCTCTTCATTAAAGAAGCTAAGAATGGGCGGTCCACTATTTTTTCTCTTGTTTTTTGCCTTTAATGTTGTTGCATTTTTCATGAATTAGAATGACACATCATGGAGATGGAATTGAAACGCCATATGGTGTGAAAATAGGAAAATTTTTCATCAGGATAACGGCGGTGCGTGATGCCTGAGAAAATAATGCAGCAACCAATATTACATGTTGCGGTCGTTGGATTTCATCATAAAAAAGGATGTCAGGTTAGACTTTTTTATTTCTAAATTTTATGTTGATCTTAGGACAGTTCATTTTTTTATACGCTACATGGTTATACAATCATTTTCATTTTTTTATATTGTAAAACAAAAGCAAAGTAATCATTTAATTTGGTGCTATTTTTTATCAGAAGCACTTTTTGTTTTATTTTCTTAATAATTTATTTTATAATAATTTTTATCATTTTAATAAATTATTTTGATAATTGCATGTTTGACTAATTCATTGAACTGTGTTGTTATTATCTTGTTCTGGCAAAATCAATTTTAGTTGGGTTTCTTTTCAACATCTAAATGCTTCTTTTTCTTACCATTATTGTTCTGAAATATAAATTGTATCCATTATATTTTTTCATATTATTATATTTCGGTTGGAATATTGCTATCCGCAAATACTTGAAACAAGCAACGAACTGCCAGCAGAATGGCAAAATTTACCTTCGCTTGCTTTACCTGATGGTGCTCATAATGTTGATCAAGGTAATATTTTACTTTATAGTGCATTTCGGTGTATTTTCTAAATGTCACTTCATTTTCTAATTTTTTTTTAAAGAGCATTCAACGTTACTGGTTAGACTCGTTTCTTTGGCTAAAGAGTTCTTTGGCAATAGGAATATAGGTGAGTCGCCAGGATTTTTGGACAAGTTTACCATTGCCAGAACTAGAATCTTAACATTAGCACTTCGAATTGAGCAACAACCCACTGAGCTACTTTATACTTTCCTTTGCTTTTTTCTGTTAAGCGACATTACAGCCCGTCGAAAGTGATATGTCAATGGGTTCGAAGTGAAGCCTCGATTCTCAGTGGCAATTATCTTGAACCACCAAGATTCATTTTTTGATTACTGGATTATAAATAATAAATTGGTTAGCACTGACCGTTCCTGGTTAGGTCAATTAGGGAGTCACAGAAGAATCCTCTGCTGATTTTTTTAATGAGAGCTTCAGTACTGTCGTAAGCATAGTCCGAAACATCGTGTTTCAAACTTTAAGAAATAACCACTCGATTATTTTGAATCCATTTCGAAATACCTCAGATGTTCTAACTTAAGACAAATATGTAATCATATATTTTAAAATTTAGTTTTAAGAGCAAATTGCAATGTTTATTTTAATCTTTGAATGATTTCTTCAATTTTTTTAGATGTTATTTATTTTTTGTTACCATCATTAGAAATGCCGAATAGAGCAATTTTCGGAATTTCTTGTTATCGTCAAATAGCTGCTCAGGTCGTTCATCTTTTATTCATTCTTTAACATTTTTTCTCTTGTCGTTCATGTCGTTTTTAAGATATCTCTGTCAGTTCGCTGGTTCTGTGCTTTAAACACCGAATCCTTGTGCTATTCTATCTTCTTGCCTCTTCAAAAATTACGGGCAATTACGGTTGATAATGGTTTTATCAACTGCATAATTCTTATAGAAATAATTTCAAAATAATTAGAAGGCAAGACAATTTTATCTGAATAGAATGGAATTTTTTTTTTTAAGAATCTTCACCATTACTGGTTAAACTCGCTCCGATGGCTTGTCGCACTGAATAAATATGCCAAAGAGTCCTTTGGCGATAGAAATGCAGGTGAATTGCCAGTATCACTCGATACAGGTTTACTCCTGTTGGGAATCGAACTTTTATCAACTGCGTAATTCTGATAGAAATAATTTCAAATATAGATTGGTGCTCCCAGTTGATTCTATCTCTTAAAATGGAATACAGTTCTTGGGAAAATTATCATCATAAAATAATTTACCTTTAATTTTAGGATTTGTTGAATAAATCAAACGATATTACCCGGAGTACTGTTCAAAAAAGTGTTTGCGTATTATCAAAAATACCTTTGTTTGGCGTATTGACTGCAAAATTGCAGTTGATTACGCAAGCATATTTTAATGAAAGGGACTTTACTAAGGTTATAAGATTTAAAATTTTTTACAATTTTTTTAAATGTAAGAAAACAGTGCCAAATTAAAATATGATAATAATGTGGATTTATTAGGGTAAAAAAATTTTACTGCAGGTCGAAATACTTTCTCAACTTTATCATAATCTGTGTGATATGTTTTCTGAGGAAGTAATTGATGATCAGGCTGCTTTAATGGGTGAGCTCATTTATCGCTTGTGTTTCAAATAGTTTTTTCCGATTATAAAAATTTTAATGTCGTTTTTAAGATATCTCTGTCAGTTCGCTGGTTCTGTGCTTTAAACACCGAATCCTTGTGCTATTCAAACTACTGTTACTTGAAAGAAAGGTTTTGCTTGATTTAATGGTACTTTTATTTAAACTTCTGACAAATCTTGAATTCATAAATTTTTATTTGAGGCTAAGTTTGATGGTACATATTTCATTACATTTTTAATGATTTTTTTTAGTAATTTTTCTATTTTTTAAAATCTTCAGTTTTTCATTAAAAAATTGCAGGTAATTTTTTATATGTCACCAGCGCAAAGGCTTGGTGAAATAATGATTGCGCTAATTTCATTGTTTCCTGGTTAGTCTTCCTGTGAGCATGCTGAAAGAATCTTTTCATTGTGTAAAAGCATGATGTTTTTAGGGCTTGTTGAAGAAGGTTTATATCAAGCTGCCGATTATTGCATTCTTTCTTCTATTTCACAAAGTAATTCTAAATTCGAGATTGGTTTTGGATTTTTTTCTTATTCTTAATTTTTACTTCTCCAGTTTATTGTTGTATTTTTCAGCATCAGGCTGTATTATTTATGGCAAGCGAAGTAGTTCCGACGAGCCTCACTCGACACAACCATCAGAGGATAGCGTTATACCTGAAATTATAACTGATTCTTGTACTGATGGTGAATTTCTTCATAATTTTTTGATAATTCTTGAGATTTTTTTGAGGTTTTTAATGTTTCAAGATTTATTCCTCTTTGTTTCAGCAGCAGAAGGCTTTGCTAATTATAAGAGCAAGTGTGATTTGAACCATTCAAATAATGTTCGCGCAGATGCTTCATCGAGCGTTGCAGTTAAAGTGGCATCAAAAATCACTGATTTAACATCTGCTGAAATGAATAGCAATATCAGCAACGCCATTGCCTCAGATTCCTTCGGTTTTCCTCTTAAGATATTTACTAAGGTAATAAATGAGATGTTTATTTTTTTGCTTTCTTGTGTTCTGCTAGTTTGAGTCCTGATTCCTGGTTGAGCCAAATTTTTATTACCCTTTTTCCTTCATTATCTTTGTAAATCAGTATTTGCAAAAGTTTTGGCTGAATTTTCTAAGTTCTAATGAAATGAAAAACCCTCTTTCTATTTTGTGAAAAAGGTTTTTAAAACTCTGTTTTTGTTTTTTAATGTATAAAATTTCTGAGTGTTTTATTTGCAATGAATTCGCTTGAATTTAAAATACAAAAACAGAAAAACAGAATACAAAGAAGTATGAACCTTCAAAGCGTGGCATAGTTATATATATTTTATATATGTATTTAAAATATTTCAGGGCTCTTTGTTTCATCCATATCTGAGCATTAGTTATTTGGAAATGATTCGATCTGATAATATTCGTGCTTATTGTATTGGAACCACGAATGCACTTTTTATTCAGCGTCGTGATCTTGTGGATGTCGTTGTCACGGTATTCTTTCACTGTTGAAAATAAAATATATTTTCAAAATTTTGATTTGCAAATTTTTACGAGTTAAAGGATTCAAATGAATTAATTCAATAAATGTAATTTTTTCTCTGTAAATTCAGTTTCTTTAATACTATTTTTTTTAACTTTATTTTTCATGTGTTGGAAGGAAATGAAGGTGAAATAGATATTGTTAATCAGGAATTGCGCCGATCACTTGCATTAACTGCCGCGGATTTACGTTTTATTGATTTTATCATTAAAAATGTAGAAGCCAATGTCAAAGCAACATGTTAGTATATTTATTTACGCCGTTTCTTTATTTTCTTTGAATTTAATTATTGAAACTTTTTAATTTATTAATAATTAATAAGCTAGTTTCTTATTTTAAGCTTGGGAAGGTGGCGATGAATGGATTCGTTTGCAAATGCGCACTTATTTGCTATCTCTTATGGGTACTGTCCGTTCCGAATTAAATGATTTTTTTATCGATTTTAACGAAAATTTCGTAGAGCAGTGGAAACTTTCTAACAATTATCGAGTGTGGGTGAGTGGTGTATATCCAGACTTGGCAGGAACCATTCCAGGGTAACCTTTCCTATTAATTTCTTCGTATCCGCGAGTCATTGGAGATTATAAAATTAAGGATTTTTTATAATTGAAAGTGGATTCTTCTTTGTTTGATTACTTTTTTTTCAAAAAATCCGGCGAAAATTTTAAAAAAATGGCATTACTCGTATTTCTCAGTGATATATACAACGATTCAAAGAAAGGATTAAAGGATTAAAACTTGAAAAATTTTCTATTTTTGTTCAGACTTTTTTATTTCTAAAATTTATTTTGATTTATATAATGGATTGGTTAATACGTGAAAAAAATTTTTATCTTTTCTATTTTTTCTGTTATAATTTTTAAAATTGCAGCCATCCATTCGCCGGAAGTCTTGGAGTCTCAGACGTTTTTCTAAGAGTAGAACATTCTATCGGTAGTTCAGAAAGTGGCCGTCGAGTAGTTTCTGCTGTTGCATCCACGGGCAAATATTTTTCTGATACTAGCTCTAAGGTAAGGTCCAGTGTGTCTTCATGGCTTCGTGGCAATAACAGTCGAGGTTCACAATCCAAAATATAATTCGCGTTTCAGAAACATTATTTGGCTGATAGAGAAGATTTTTATCATTTTCTTCATTTGTTTAAAACTGGAAACATTGTTTATTTCATTAATTGTTCAGATTGAAGATTATTGTACAAACTGACTATTAATTTTTAAAGTTAAAGTGGAGATTCTCAGTATGAAAGTCTTTGTCCTTTTTTTTCACCAATATTTTTAATTTTTGAATGTGTTTTCGCAGATTTGTCAGTTTTCTCTAATCATAGTTTTATCCGGTTCATCAATGTGTTTGTCTTCCATCTGCATTTCTTGTATTTATATTTTCTGTTTAACATTTTGGCTTTATTTTAGGAAACAAATAATTATTTTCAAATGAAATAAATAATATTGAAAGTGATTATTTATCAATATTTGTTTATTTTTTGCAAGGTTCAGATTTTAGGTAATAAGTGGAGTTTTAGAAGATTTAGATGAGTGTTACCTTTCAAATTCAATTCATTTTTTATATGGAATTTTATCACTATCACTATTTTTCTTTTATTTCCTATCATCACTTTTTTCGGTTAGATGGTCTGGTTATTTTTTAAATTTTTTCACTTTTTTTCATTGTTTATGTTTTTCATAAATATTTTTCTCAAAATTTTTTCCCTTTTTTTCTCGAGAATTTGTCGATTAATTAAAAAATAAATTTTTAAGATGTTAAAATTTTCAAAGATTATTATTTTTAAATGTTATATTACAAATAAAAATGAAAGCTAAATAGTTCTGTTTGAAGGACTTAAAATCGCTTTGTCAGTTTGATCCACTGGTTATTGGCATCTTTTATATTTTTTCGGGGAAGGTGCATTAAATTTAAGTGTAAATTTAACATTTATTTACCTGCAAGAAATGATATTTTTATAGAAGCGTGGTGAAACATTTCACTGACATTACAAATTTATATTTAATCTATATTTAAAATGTTTAGACTATAATAATTTATGGTTCTCCATACTTAACAGCTATGGCAAGTTCAATAGCTGAGTAATAGACCCCTATTATCATTATAGATAAACCAGCTGTGATAATTATATAATCAAATCGTTTCTCTTGATTTGATAATTTAGCAGCTTTAATCTTCAAATGAAATAGAGCAGGCCATATGAAACTAAGCATTGTGCCAGTGATATTGCCGATAAGACCCATCAATTCGATTAAATACGGAACGGATAGAGCTGTTGATAACGTGAAGAGCAATAAAAGAATCCGCAAGCATAAAGCCCATTCTCGAATCGTATTTCCCATTCCATAACAACTGAGAAACAAATTTTTACTTTAATTTTTGTCAAAAGATTTTAGATTTTATTAGAAATAATTTACCTTGTAAAGAGTGTATGTTTGGTTCCACGAAAAAAATTCTCAGAAATAAGTCGAACTGCCGCAAAATAAGGCAATGGATACGATAGTAATGCTTTTATTACAAGAGTTGTGTTAACTATGATCTGAAAAAAATTTGCAGAAATTTATATCAATATACTTAATAAACGTGGCGGTAGGGCGAAATTAAGGATAATCCGAGGGCAATGATAGAATAATTTAAAAAGATGCAAGGTTAACACCGATATATTCTTTTTTAAATTAAATTAAATCGTTCTTGGAAAATAACGCAATTTCGTACAATTTTCGTACAATTTCGTACAATGCAAAAGTTGTGCGGATTAGTTCCACAGGTTATGTATGGTAAGTTCCATAGAAAGTGTATAAGGTCACTCCTAATAAATGCTATTTTTTAACTGTTTCATTTACTGATTTATTATTTTTATTAATTTTACTATTTTAAATTTCCGATTTCGCATATATTTTCTTATTCTTTTTATTATTTTTTTTTCCTTCTTTCTTTTTTAAGCCATAAATTTTGCATCCGAAATGAAATAAATACATTTCAATTTTTTCATATAGAACAGAATTTCAGGATAATCAAAAAGGATTTTGAATAAATCTAAATCTATGAAGTTGTTTTATCTACAAAGAATAAAAAGACAAGCAGAACTAGTGCAGTCTAAGCATCCATAATTTAACAGTCTAAGCATCCATAATGATATATTTTCCGTCTAGGGTATGAGTCGAAGCGTTGCCTCAAAACACGATAATCTGAGCTATTAGCCACTCATTTTCTAGTTATAAATAGGAATGAAGTGGATAGAATAGTGGAAAATATCAGCGAATCTACGGAGAATCGTAAGACTAATCATTTCTTTTTCTTCTCACCATTACATATTAGGCTGTCTACGATAGCTACAAGGGTGGGATTCTCCAAGGTTCGATCCGACGTTATTGCTGATATTAATAGAAACCATTTTTTTTTCATCTAAGTCCACACATATATCGCTGGTCCACCAATAAGTTTAAAATCTTTCTTGTCTATATCAGTGCACGTCTTCTTGACTTGACCCTTCTCGATTTTGACGACACACCACTTAATATTACCATCATAGATTAGCAAATAACGAAATTTGTGTCGATTCCTCTGGTAAACAACGAAGAAAATCCAATGAAGTTTACGTTTTGTGATGGTAGTATTAAGGCAAATGGTATTTGAGCGAAGATGGGTGCAATTTTATCCGCTCTGCAGGTCCGCAAGATGTATTATCATATCATGAGTAGTAGTCAAAGGCAGATAACCTCTTAAAATCCTCCACTCTCATTGATCATTGTCTCATTGTCTCAGAGCCATATAGCGAATCACTGCTATATAGATGCGGACTTTCGTTTTTATGGTGATTTCACGACGATTCGATAAAGGTTTCATCAACCGGAAAAACATTTCTAGCTATCGTTATCTGTGTTACAAAAAATTAGGTATTATCAGCTTTCTGCATGTAAGACGAAAAGGCTTTCGTTTTATTGACTTTGAGTCCGTTTCTCGCTGGAGTCGTTGAGATGTTGTTTAGCATTATTTGCATTTTATCACCAAAAAGGGCCAACATCATTAGCGTATTCTATGATACTATGCTCTGGAGTGATTTATACTCCTCTTGATTGCCAACAAAAGATTCATTTATCCAGTCCATCGCATAGTTGAATATTGTAAGGAAAAGGAAGAATACAAGTCTTTATATAGAAAGAGACTGTCATTTTCCCATATGTCTGTGCCGATATATGCCGATATATACACTTTTATGAATCGAATGATCTTCTCTGGAAAATCGTCATATTCCATCATCTTCCAAAGCGTTATTCTAATCAAATGAATAGAAAGTAGCGGCAGAATCGACAAGTAAGGATGGGTTAACGATATTTGAAGCGATGTTTCATAGCATGAATATCTGGTCCGCCTCCCGATCTGAATCCAGCTTGGTTGGGACATATCCTGCTGTTTCACTGCCACGAGCTTACTCAGTAGGAGGGAAGTAAAAATTTTTCAGAAGATGTCCAGTAGGTCGATTACCCAATAATTTCACAGTACGTCCTGTCACTTTTCTTAGGAATTGGAAGCAGAATTACTTAGATTCATCTGAAAATGGTTTGAAAAAGTCATCGAGAGAAATCTACCACTATATCTATCTCATTATAAATTATTATTGATATCTCAGAACGGCTTCCTTTTCTCTAATAATAAAATTTAACAAAAAAATAAAACGATTCGAAAATTTTGTTTAAGTGGAAATCTGCAATCTCATTGTTCTCCAAAACCTTATTTAACCTTAAATGATTGATTTGGCAATGAATTTGATATTTCTTTTTGTGTTAATTCACCAAAAGTAAGAAATCCAAATAAGCCAAAAATAGCTTTGAATATTGCAGCGATTATATGCGACCATTTCAACATCCATTTGAATTCACTCGGATTCTTAAAATCATTAAAATTTTTTCAGCTTTTCAATTGTTTTTTTTACCGCAAATTTCCTAAATTTGTAGAATATTGAATCTTTATTTTTTATATTTTCAATATATTTATTAAACATGAAAATGAAGAATAGCATGGCTTGATGATAATCCCCAGAAACAAAACAGTGGAATCTAAAGACAATTTATTCCACTCCATTAGCTTTACGGCTTAAATATTGAACAAAATGACCGGTTTAGGGATATTTTTAAGGAATTGATCCTCCAATTTTTTGAAATTTTTTCCAATCAGTAGCCAGCAAATTTCATAAAACAAAATGTGAACGTTTTTATTTTAATTTAAGTCACAATTGCTCAAATAACGGATATAAAAGGGAACACTGTATTGTGTGCACCTGCATTGATGCCTCAAGCGATGGAAGAAATATATGTGAAGTGTAACCAAAAACGACAACTCCGATTATAGTTGGCATTGTGCGGATATCCAAAGTAAATGGTACTTCATTCCATACCCAGTCAGATATCTTTAAATTGAAAATTATTTTTTAATGGTTTGATAAGTTCAATATACAAGAAAACCAGAAAAAAAATTTGAATTTGAATAGCTAATAAATGAAACAAACTTGTGAAATGCAATAAAATATAACAATAGCATTGACAATTAAATGAGAAACTGCATTTGCGAGACTAAGGTGACTAACGACACGCAGGGATTCTAAGAATGAACAGCCAAGTAAAGCTGTCGTAACCAACATCATCCAAGCTGGTTTGTCTGAAAATCTGCGGGTGTACTTTCACTATTTCAAAAGGAAGTTGTGATTTGATAGTTGGGTCGCCAACACCACCATTTTTAATGATAGAAATATTTCCACCAAGACACATGAATTGAACCTCTAATACGCAGGCTTGAAGAAATTCAAAATCAAATTTCATACCAACAGCGGGAACACAACTTTGAAGAAGATCAGCAGCAATGACAATGTATATGATGCAGGTGCTAAGCAGTTCGATAAGCTGCGCCATTAGGACAAAACAGCCCATACCGTGTCGATAAGCTTCAGCCACATCGCGATATGTTTGACGAACCTGAAATAATAATCGAAAATAATCGATTTCGTTTATTTATCTAACCATTTGTTTGTTTACAATCCTTTTTTCAAAAATCTCACTGGAAGATTTAACGTCTCAAATTTACCAAAAATTTTAATTTTGACCATAAAATTTAGCAACCAGCCAAATCAGAATTGATAAATAATGTTAGCGATAAACAATTTTCATTGGTGAATTTGATCAATTCCTATTATTAAGGAAAATACTATCTTCATGGCGCACACACTTGCAATCTATCCAAAAGTAATTCTAAGTCGAAAGAGTTTTTTGACAATGGAGTCCCGCAGAACCAGAGAATAACTGTGAAATTATGAGATATCAACGTTATCAATGGATCATTTTTAGTCTTCACTTATTTTCGTCTTCATTGCCTACTAAAATTCTTAATGAATATTGTTTTTAATAATGGCTTAGAAAGGTTATAAAAAGTATTTGGACTAAAGTTATGGATGCCTTGATATTATTCTCATATAGGCAGTCTATAAGCAGTAATCCAGTAGAATAGCACATATAACCGACAGCAACCAAAGCAGCAATCGTCCACCAACCGCCAACCTGGAAACGATAAATATTTCTTAGCACTCGCATCATACACATTGTCATTACTATTGGTTAAGTTTCTAGGCCCAATATAAACACCTTGACAGCGATAGGTAATCCGACAATAAACATTCCTTGAATGGCATTTGTTACGTTCCAAGCAGCTTGCAAAGCTGTGATTCGCTTATCAACATCGCTTTCGCAAGTGGCGGCTTCTTGTTCCCTATTGTCTACAAACATTTCAGTAACTGAAAGAGGCAAAATTATATTTTTATACGTATTTCTACATTAAATACTGATAATTATCCAACAAAACTTGAAAAATAATTTTGATAAACTTTTATTTTGTTTCTACTCTTCATCTAAATTTTTTTATTAATTAATTCAAATATTATGAATTAAATAATATTAAAATTAAATGAATTCACAAAATCTGAATCGAAAAAAATTTTTATTGGAAACCAATGATAATTCCATGTTCTTCCTGTTGTTCATTATTAACAGTGAACGAATCGATAGATGAAGTAAAAATGTTTTTATTCGTCCAATCGTGAAGTCGTTTACTTGCTGTTTGCATAATTCTACGATAGCCAGCAATGAAGATAGCAAAAATAGCAAATTTTCGTGATTGTTATGGACCAAACAGAAATATATACTAGGTTAATGCTAGGCTAACTAGCCGGACGATGATGATGACAATGATAATGGAGAAGAAAAATTGTAAGAATTCAGAAATTATAAACATTGCTGGGCTCTCCGCCCAGAAGAGTTAAATCCGAAATTATTTTTCGCATTATAAAAAGGGACACAACGACACTTATGAAGAGATTTCCCAATATGCATCTTTATTGTCGATAAAACAAACTCATTGAAGAATTTAATTTTATACGAAATTAAACGATAAATCTCTAGAACATTTTTTATTTATATTAATTTATCGGAAAAAAATTCATTAAAAATCAAAAATTTTTCGCGAAAACTTTTTTCATTTCATTTGGCAAATTAAATTTAATTTTCCTAAAATTTGTTTTGTTTCTTTCCTGCTAGTATGTCGCAGCATGGAAATGGCTGACTTTCGGAGATATGCCTATGGTTGGGACCAGTATTTATTCGCCACAAAGTTGTCATTGTCATTTCACTAAGGTGCTTCAATAGTTCGATTTGAAATGAAATGTTTGCTCTCTCCGAATCTTTTAGTTTGAGATATTTGAAAGGTCTTGGGAGACGTTGTTTCTGGTAAGTTATCAATTTATATGAATCTTAGTTCAAACCATAATGTAGTGTGATCCATGAAGATTATTAGTTTCACAGCCCCAATGACTATCCAGTATGTAACTCTTCTAATGGCGATATAATCAGTAAGATATAATCAATCTGCTTGGAGTACTGGTCATCCGGAGAGGTCCACGTGATTAGATGCCTTCTTCGATATCGAAAACTCCTCTTAGCAACGACAAGTTCATGCTCTTCAATAAAGCAAAGAATGAGTACTCCATTGATATACCGGATCGCGATGCCCCATATTTGTTAATTACTCAGTTCACCATGGTAGCATCGTAACTTACGCGCGTATTCAAGTCTCCGATTATAATCATTTATTCGATAGAGATACTGTTAGCAGTTGAGATTCCGCATAGAATTAAGTTGCTATATACAAATGATGACCGAAATATTGTAGAACTTTCGTTCGAAACCAGTGTAAGTCATACCAGTCGTTTAAGCCACACAATCAGAGCGGACCAAGCTTTTTCAGATGTTAATCGACAAGCCATTTTACTCTGAGTTATCCGAAAAACCACGATGCCACGATGATATAGTACTTCTGTATAGTACTTAGTCAGTACTTCTGCTAGGTTTAACAATTGCACGAAATGCGGGAGACGAACCTCAGGCAAGCGGGCGACATCCACTCGATATTTAGAAAGGATGCGGACAATTTCGCTTGAAACGTCCATAAACGTTCTGACCTACTACGCTGCTATAGCTAATACTTCGCCATGCCAAGGTTTCATACTTATCCCATTATCACCGGACTGGGAGTACCATGCACGTTGGAGGACGCAGACGCCGTGTCAAAAAGACTTGCCCCTTTCACTTCAGAATCACTAGCGGATATAATTAAACGTGTATCTCCAGCAGCCATTTGAATTTCTGACACCATGATAGGTTTACTCCTGTTAAAGATAAGAAAGGAAAAAAAGAGAAAAAAAATTGTTTAATATAATTTAAAAAACTTTTATCTCATTCCTATGGATTATCATCCTCAATCTCGGGTTCTTTGCCAGAGGCCTCGGAAATTGAAGGTTCTGCACAGTGTGTTAGCTGCTTTTAATAGTGCGCTTGTCGCCGAATGCCGAAAAAAACTGTAAATTTGAGCAAGTCATCTGGATTCCCATCTTAAATTAAATATAAGCTCCCAAAAGATCAATTTTGGTCATTTTGTGCTTCTATTAGGGGAAAACGAGTGGGGGAGCGGTCGTTGAATAATGGGCATTTAGATTTTATATTTGATTTTATTTCTTTATAGTAGAGCAATTACTTCGCTTTATTTTCTTATGAATTTTTACATCTTTACTAATAAAGGTTTAATTATTACGCAAATTTGAGTTTCGCAACGAGAAAAATAAAAAGTAGAACGCTGGCCGCAGAGTTTTAATATTAATAAAGATAAGAAAGGAAAAAAAAGAAAAAAAAAATTGTTTGTTTAATTGTTAAATTGTTCAAAAAAAAGATAGTGGAGTGGATTCCCAAAAGGAATTTTCGTAAAGCTAGAATATTGGAAGGGAAATCGCCGTGCTCCCGACGAAAATTCGTAGTGCTACAAATCCTTTTTCAGCATTTTTCTGGATAGAAATCTCTGATTACTACTGATTATTACTGAAATCTGCTGAAGCCACTTTTCTGGTTTGGGTGCAAAGTTCTCCAATTATCTCTGGAACTACTTTGGCCTTCACTTTGTTTCTCAAATTTAAAAGAACTTAGCTTAAATAGTTCCAAAAATAGTGCGAGAAAAATTAGCAGTACGGAGAACGACCGCTCAAGAAACTTTCTATCTCACGTAAGTCACCAGTACCACCTGAGCCTCCTTTTTAAACCTTTTTTAATGACAGTTTTATCATAAATATATTACTACCAGAATAGAAATTTTTACAATATATTGCGAAAAAATTATGAAATATACAAGATAAAAAGGAGATAAAAAATTTCGTTCAATTCTATCTTAATTTTGTCTTTTATAAATGAAGATTAATTAATTAATGAACAAATTCATCCTATCCAATATCATTGCCAATGACGACGAATGGGCCACATGTTTTCGGAAATATGGCTGCGGCTGTGTTTTGAGCTCTGCTAAGCCCTTGAATTATTTCGTCAGAAATTGGGAAGTGTAAGGAGGTTTATTCAATGCTTCTTTGGTGTGAAAGAGTAGGTTAAACCTGCCGAAGTGATGCATTCCTCGGTCGTTCCACGTTGTATCTTCGTTATTAATTTACGTAACCCTTGTCATTCTAGGAAAAGGTGAGAGGTAAAAGAAAAAAATGACCTCACGGATGCTGTGGGTGAGGTCGGTTAGCTAATGAATAGTCGTTCAGTGCAGCAGCTGAGGTGTTGGCCTACCGTTTCCGGTCCGCTGGTTTCTATAGGTTTCTCTTGTCGCGATGGAGAGGCCGAGCTCTTGCCTCTCAACACTGCAGTCTGAACTACCATCCATCAAGGCACGAAAATTCCCTTCGAAATCATTTAATTATCGATGTGGATAATTTAATAAAATAATTTTAAAAATATTTTCCATCATTTCTATTATTCTTTCTCTTTTTTTATTTATTTTTCTTTTCTTTCTATTAATAATAATGAACATTTTGAAATTTATCATTTTTTGATGGCAAAAAACGTGCCAGAAAAATTCGTATTGACTGCTGTTGACCCGTCTCTGCTTCCGTTCGTAAGTGGCTCTATGGTGAAAGAGTTTGATTATATTAATGGTTGTATTGGTTGTATTGCTCTCCATACCCTTTCTTTCGTATGACGAAACTTCTATCAAAATCACCATTAATAAAGCGAAAGTTCGCACTGCCTAACTTATTATACACTTCGAAATACGGTCGATCAGAAGGTTCCGAAAAGATATTTTTTGTCTTTGATCACTCTAAAGCACTTTTTATTTCATCTACATGTGCTCAAATATCACATGTATTAACAGTATTATCAGAGTGTCGTTTGCGCTGGTTAAGCCATGTTATTGGCCATTTATCGCAGAAATCGACATATATCTCGCTATCAGAAGCTACAAAGGCCAGTCAAAATCAGGACTGATACAATTAAGAATTTTGAAGGCACCGCGATATATGGGCGAAACAGTGGAAAAAGAAGTGGCTTTTGTCGTTCTCGGTACCATTGGCATTAGCTTGGAAATATCATCCATTATAGCCAGCTGAGATAGTCAGTAACGATATAAGTTGATTAAGAAGAAAAAATTTCCTTTCCTCGAGAAAGATTTTGATTTTCAGCAAAAAAAGGGAAAAGTAATTTGAAAAAAAAATGGACGAATTTCTTCCACTTTTATTTCGTGGTGATTTTGATCACTCTTATTGTATTCAAGAATATAATGGTCGACTTATTTATGGAACACTTCATGATATTGAAACTGCTACACGAAATGAAATTGTGGGTTTTTTTACTATTTAATTATTCTTTCGATGCAAATATGTATGAGCAGTTAAATTGTTTTGTTTTATTTGCGAATTATTTTTTAATTTCTGATAAGAATTCATCTAAGAATTCAGAATAACTCTTAAACTTTTAAATTTTTTCTTCAAATAAAAATTAAAATAAATTATACATTAAATCAATCAAATTATATAAATTATAAAAAATACATAGTTAGATATACATTAAGCAATTCTTTTTTTATTTTCTAGTTTATTTTTCCTTCTTCCCTAATTTTTCTTGTCCTTGACAGGAGTAAATTTGCCACAGGTTTGCTGGAAAAATAAACTAGAACACCTGTAGCAATACCTCCAAGTGACTCTGTGGTGAAAGAGTCAGGTTCTTGAACGGCGTCCGACCCCCGTGATTCTCGGTGGTGCATTGGATAAGTGTGCAGCCCGGGCGTAACCAAACGACATCAAGGCTTAATAATATGATCTGCTCGCGAGCGACTATAACTGATTGAAATCTGTCAATGGAAACGATTCTGTGTGTACGAATGGCGAAGTATTAACTGTAGCAGCGTAGTAGGT